AAATTATTTATGTATATACATTTTATCTAAAACGTATTCAATTAATACAAACAAAAATATTATTAAATAATCACTTTCTCAGTATGTTTGTTTACAGTTCAGTTGTTGTTTGTTCACATTTTACATATAAAACAAATGACAAATATTTCAAATTTCCCTTGTAATTTCCCTTGTGTGAAATTTGTTTTTAAGGATTGCATTTTATTTTTAGGTAAGTTAAAAAGCATGAAAGTTAATGTATGGTTAATGAAATTTACTTAGTAAGTTATACTTAGTAAGTTATACTTACTAAGTAAGCAGTGGGTTTAGTTTGTTCAGATTAGTTACGCTTAGGTATACATAGCATCTAGGTTTTAAAATGCGGTAACAGTTACAAAGCACTTGCTTGATGTTATGGATTATGATATGTATATGTATGCATTGGTAATTTTCTCAAACAGAAAACTTGTGCCAAAGTCTTACACACTGTTGGATTGAAACCTTAGCATGGTACCATGGGGTAAACATATTAGAACCTTATTGTAGAAATTGGATGTTAAAATATCTGTGCACATTTTCTGTTAAAACTGAAAAGTGTATAGTTGCAGACTAATCTATCTTAGGTGTAGGCTTGTTATCCTATATAACATATGGAATGAAATAAAACCAACAAAGGTGTTTATATGTAAAATCTGTACAAACAACAGCTGAGCAAAGGGTCTGAGGAAGTAAATATTTAATAAAATCTTTGTTTCTATTTATTGAATATATAATTGATATATAAAATGTATATAAATGATTGAATATATGAATTATATATTTAGTTTTTTTGTGTGAAGTTTATTAAAGTTTAGAAAAGTTCTATCAGCTGCATAAATGATCTCATTATAATGTGAACGTTCACTCATTAATCTAAAATGCCTAAATGAGAAAGTGTGAGTGTACTATTAGAAAATTTCATAATATGTTTCTAAATTTAAATAGAAAATGCCATGCCAACTATTTGAGTATTTCTGTTTTGAAATATTAAAAATAAAATAAAGAATCATTCATGACATCTTTTTTATATGAGATAACATTTTCAATCGAAAATGCTGACTATAGCTAAAAATTTCGGTTCTTTTAAATGCATTTAAAATACTTTTACTTAATTTACATCTTTTATGTAATTCTTCTTTCTGCCTATAATCAATGCATATGCATGGGTCGAATAACCTCCATAGAGTAACAAAAACAGCTCATCGCATTCCTTAAACTAACATCCTTGAGGCGGCCATCAATCTTTACTCGTCATTAAGTACTCATAGTCTGTGGCTCTGTGGCTTTGTGGCTCCACTGCTCTGCGGCTTCTTATGACTTCTTATGGGTGCTAAAGAATTGGGTTAGCGCAGCTTTTTTCTACTTAATTTATGCCGAAACACTAAAACTCGTTAACTGGTTTTTGATGTTTTTGTCATGAATTTCGTTTTCTTGTTATTGTTCTGTGCCGTGCTGTTTTATTACATAAGTGAGGTGTTAAACGGGAAATAAAATAGAGATATTAAGATATTTTGAGGCAATCAAATTAATATGTTTTCAACAATTTTTTTTACATTTTTGGTTTTTATCTAATTACTAGGTATTATTTCTTTAGTCATTTTGAGTGTAACTTCGTTATTTACTATTTTTACTATTTTGTTGTTTTTTTTTATTTTATTTAAAATCATTAAAAAACAATTTTTGGTTAAAGCGTGAATTTGCGAAAATATCTTTTGTACTTTGATCGAAAAAAAAAAATAAATGAATCTAAAATAAAAATAAATAAATGTGTACTGTGTAAATTACTAAATCGACTTACCGCAATTGTGTTCTTAAACTATTAGGAAATTTGTTTGCTTTTTATTTATATATAATTTTTTAAATAATATTTTTTCTATATATATGAATATATAATTTTTTTTTAAATTTGTTCTAACACAATTGTTAAAGGAATATTTTCTAAATTACTTTAAATGACTAATCGCTTTTAGGTGTTGAATATTAAAAATTATAGTTAACATGCAAATCTACTTTTCGTAGTTCAATTGTCTGAAGTTGTCAATTTTTTTTGGAGACCCTCTGTCTAAGCACATAATTCTCTAATATATCTTTATTTTCTCACAAAAGAAAGATTTATTATAATTTTTATTATTATTTACAAATTATTGTCTATAAATCATAAATTTGACATTTGTAATAAAATCTAAGCAAAACAATAAATAGACTTGAGAACAGAATATGTGATAATGAAAATAAAACTTATGAGTATGAATATTAATAGAATTACTTCTTAATTACACAATAATGTATAAGAATATGGTAAAAATTGCAATTAATCTTGAAGTAGTAATAATATAACAGATTAATTGATTCTACTTAATGAGTACTTAATGGAGTACCGTCACTCTTATGGGCCTATATCCACCTTAGTGGGTATGAACTCATGCTCTTAGCACTTTGTCAGCGCATTCAGGCGTATCAAAACCTCCTGCCTGGCAGCTCCACTGTTTGTTATTATTTATAATATGTTTAAATAGATTAATTGATCTAGATCAGGACTGTCCAAAACCCGAACAGTGGGCTACATGCGGTCTGCGGCAAATGTTTGTGCGGTCCGCGACATGTTTTTTTTTCTACCACAATTACTCAAATTTTCTTTTAATGTACTGGTAAAACTACAGTGATTTGTATTGGCAGCGTTTGCATGGGGGCTGGATAGCCCTAGTTTAGATTATTAGTATCATATAAGAAATCATTGACAGTACCAGTTTTGTTTAATTTCCAAAAACAAAAGTATAAAATAATGGAAATTTGAAATAAAATGGAAGCTTGATAAGGAATATGGTTTTGACAAAGATTCAATATTCTTCATACCGATAATAATAGTGTAAATCAGATTCTTTATATATATATATACTCAGTTTTCAAGCTATATTTTTATTATTTCTGATACAAATTATCTTAATCCTGTCGAATCAAAACCCGGAACCCTTCTGTTGTGAAGTTACTAATTTGATATGGAAAAAGACGCTATCGCTCCAGAATCTTTTTCCTAGCCTACAGCTATCCTTCCTACAATAAAGGATAACCACAAACATGTATAAAAAATCTTCAAGATGGTGACGATATTCTATTACCTCAAACAAGTTAATGCCAACAACTTTATATCTATTTTACTGCGGACTTGTGACTGCTCGTTGTTTAAAGAAGTTCCCAGCTCGGTAGACTAGCAGTTACCTGTAATGACGCATCAGTAACGATATGTGTCGATTTTGCTACAATCAGTAACCAGAGTTTAGTTCATTCTCTTTCTACAATAAAGCTACTGTTCCCATAATTAAATACTGCTATTTAAATATGGGATTGTTTACATAGACCTTATTTAAAATTTGATCGGTTTGTTTGAAATATGGTGAAGTCATTATATATTTTTTTGGAACACTTTGTTCTTATTTCCAATAGATATTTCGGGGCCATATAGAACAATTAAAAAGTGACTTCTTATGACTTCTTATGATGTGTTTGTCCCAAAAAGTCGCAAATAATCTTTTAAGCAATATGACTGATGGTTTCTGATTTTTAAACCCGCTTATGTTTATTTATTCTGTAAGCATTGAAAGCTTTTAAATTACTACTATTTTGTGGATATTGACTTAACTCGGTCACCGAATTCTCAGTTTCATCATATATAGTTCACTTTCAAGCCACAATAGGTACTACTACCTAGTCCAGCGTATAATCCATATTTAGCTTGTTATATCCTGTTTCTCAACACGGAGAAATGGCTCCGCGGTGACATACTTGGGTCAAATGAAAACGCCATTACTGAAATGAGTGCTTATTTTGAGGACTAGGAGAAAATTTATTGCTTTGAAAGGACGAAAAATTTGAGAACAAATTAGAGAAATTAAAGAAAGAAATTAGAAAAATTTGTCGAAGAAAAAAAATATCTTTTATTTGAAAAATTATTGAATTATTTAAATTGGCTTTGCTTAAAATTGTAGTTCCATTTTTAACAACTTTTAAGTAAATTTTATTTTTTCACTTAAATTTCTCTTATTAAGAATTTAAAATACTTTTCTTTTAAATACTAGTTACTTTTTCTATAATGATATCATATAAAATTTTATAATTGTTGCAATTTTTGTGCAAAAATAAATAAATAAATAAGTATTAGTTGTTATGAATTCATTGATTTCGTTTTAAGTAAATTAAATTAATTCTCGTATTCGCTTTACTCAACCATTTTAATAAACAATGGCTCCAATAAAAAATGTTTAGCATTAGCAGTATTTTTAGTATACCATTAATGCTACTATTTTAAATTCTTTTTAAAATTAATTGAATACAATTACTTATAATAGAACTAGTTAATTAATTACTCACTAGTTACTTTGTATTTATTAAAATCAATACTTATTAATGCATCACAGCAACTGGATGGAGCATTACATGCCAAGCATGGTAGTTGTTTATTACTAGTTACTTTAATTTGTTGTAATATAATATTAATTAGACTAGTTACTTTACCACTTATTAGTAGCTGGATGGAGCATCACATGCCAAACAGGGTAGTTGCTGCTTAGGACTTGTTACTTTAATTTGTTATAATATTAATTAGACTAGTTACTTTACCACTTATTAGTAGCTGGATGGAGCATCACATGCCAAACAGGGTAGTTGCTGCTTAGTACTAGTTACTTTCATTTGTTATAATATTAATTAGACTAGTTATAAGTAATACATTTAATACAATTATTTAGTTTCGTGTCTTGTATTAACACATGTATTCACGCTATCATGCAAAATGGAAGCACTCTGCTATGAGGTGTATAGAGTGTTGAAAAAGTACCCAAAATCTGAAAACTCGTTACTCGTTACTGCATACACGACTACGTCGACGTTTGTTTTGTGGAATTTTTTTTCGAAGTGAACAGAGCTGCGCTTAAATTATTTTGTGAAAATTTTAGTTTTAAATCTTGGATTTAAGTCGCTGCCAATGCCAGATTGAATTCTCAAGTTGCTGTGAATGGACGTTCATTTTTTTAAACGCAAGAAACGGAGTGTGAAATATTAAAATAATTTAAAATAATTCAAATTAAATTTTTTTGAGTGAATTCGGATCATAAATCATAAAAGGATCATACATAAGCTGTATAAAGTGAACTTAATTAAAAAATAAAATTAAATTAAATTAAAAAAAATTAAATTAAAAATGTGGAAGATTTTATTTTACGTTGCAATGTTGCAAATTATTTTTGCTGCAAAAACTGGTGAAATACGTAAGTTGGATTTTAGGATTAGATTTTGAAATTCGTACAAAAATATTTTTAATATACGAATGACATCATTTTATTTATGCAAATTATTATATATTATTATAACATATCAACAAAACTATGTCCTGTCAATATAAATTTCGTAACATAACATAAAATTAATTTATTTTGATTATAAAATTCTAATCAAAATCACTAAATAATCTGAATCTTAATTAATTCAAAATAAAAAAAATAATTTTATTTAAAATTAAAATTAATTTTAAAAAAAATTAATTAAAAAAAAATTATTTGTTTATTAAAAATTTTAAATTTTAATTTGTTTAATATTGTGCAAATTTTTTTTTAAACTATAATAATTTTTTACAATTGTTAATTTTGCTTTTAATTTTAAATTAGTATATTTTAAATAAAAAATATTTAGTATTATTTATAATATATAATTTTATTTGTGAAATTTTTACGTTGAGAAATTTTAAAAACTTTTTGTTTTGCTCAAAGAAATATAATATGTTCAACAATTATATATATGTGCATACACCTGCTTACTACATTTGCCAACTTTGTTTTGCATTAGTATCTTTCAGTATAAAAATTTAATCATTCACCATATTAATCATACTATAATAGGTTTTATTCCAACGGTTCCATTTACAAGCATACGGCCATAAAGAGGAGGAAGCAACAGATTGATGGCATTTTCGATTGCTAAATATAGATTTAGTTTCAATCTGTCAAATTTTACTGCCTAATCGAAAATTTTTAAAATAATCTAATATTTATTAGATATTTATGTTTTTACAGCCGTTAATTTAAGAGCAATCTTGCTACTCTGGCAAAAAATCTAGACTGTTTGACTGCTTGAGATTTACCATTCGAAAATGAAAACAATACTAAAAATGAATCTCGATTAAAACAGTTACCCCAGATTTACGAATCGGAAACGGTATAAGTTTAGTATGATGCCCTAAAAAAATTATTTCTGTAGTAGAATAGAATTAAATAACACTATACAAAGATTTTTTTGATGATTTGGATGGAAGATTTTAGGTCAGCTTTTAGGAAAGGTATAAAGATTTTTCTGACAAATATTTACCGAATTTTGAATGTGTACTGACAAGTGACGTACTTATGAAATAATTTTAAGATTAAATTTTAATAAACATATTGAAGGATAAATTTTAAAAACTTTAAACTCACATTTTCAAATCACATTGGATGAATAACCATTAAAATTTAAAAAATATATAAAATAAAATGGAGATTTATCTTACAGTACTGAATTTAACAATTCCTTACAAAATAATTTTTATTGAAAATTAAAATTTAAAAAATATTAAATTAAAGAGGTTTTTCGAACAGTAGTGAACTACAACAACAAAAATTTATTTTTTATATTATTTTAATTAATTGAATTTTTGGCTGACCATACAGCTGTTTCGAGTATTGCCAAATACCCATCATCAGTGATCTTGGAAATAATTCTTGTATTTAATTATTCGTAAATAATTATTTTTGAGACTGCAAGTACCAGGAATCGAACTCGGGTCCTTCCAAAATATTAAATTATAACTTCGTTCAAGAATATTCAAATATAAGCAGTCTTTTTAAATTTTTTTTCTTTAAAGGTTTTGTAAATTTACATTAACTTAAAGCTTAAATTTATCACAATTAATATCATTTATTGGGATCTAAAGTTGCACTTAAATTATGCATTGAATATATCCATTAGAATTAAAAAGACCTTATTTATATATATATATATATGCATAAACTGAAGGTTAAATAAATAATTAGAATGAAACTGTAGTATATAAATAATTTTATTATAATTAATAAGTTATAAATGAGAAGTTTATTGTGTTGATTTCAATATGATCTAAAAATTAGCAAGTCAAAATAAAGTAATGATAGTTAACAGACTAAGTAATAATTAATTAAACGTGACAACTATTGCAGTCAATTACGTAGTTAAAAATTAAATTACTTAGGTTTCTACATAATATACACCCGCGATTGCTTCAAATAAATCATCTATTATATTATAATGGTAAAATCACTAAAAATCTGTTATAAAAATAACAGGATAATAATAACTAACAGGATATTTAAAAAATTTCGATTAATAAATACTTAGGTATTCCTATAGTTACCAATAGAGAATTTGGTAGTTAATCAACCAAATTAAATAATAACATAAGACAATCAGAATATCCAAGTCCTTAAATTGTGCATGCATTAAAAAGGAATTCAATGGACTTTTCACAGCATCAACATCTCAATCAAGTATAAAAAGTTGACTTTTAAAAATAATTCACAACAACCTACATGTCTGAGATACTTTGGTTATGCAGTAGAAGTAGATCAGAAACATTGAAACAGCACGTTTTACAAGAGAACATCAACAAAAATAGAAAAGATGAGGATCACCTACTAGATCGATAGATCACTTACAGCATTTGCTCGGTGATATGATGGACGAAGCAATATACCTACTCAGCCTACGTGTATGCTCGTTCTACAATAAATAAAATGTCACTACGGTCTGTGAAGACCAAATATATAGAAGAAGGAATATTTTTTGTAAATATTGATTAAAATTGAATTTTGAAAGTATTTTAACTAATCTTATCTATAATTATAGTTGTAAAAACTAAAACAGATAATTAAATCAGAGGCTTTCAGAGCATTGATATATATTTTAAGTTTTAATTCACTACCACAATTAGTTTTACCCAAACTAATATGCGTATGAATATATATACAAATTAAAAAAATACTAGTAAAATATACTATATTGGTATATATAAAAAATATATATATATAAATACTAGTAAAAAATATATATTCAATCTATCCAATAACTCAAATCTTCTTTATATGTGCGACTAATATTTTTACTTCTAAACTCGTACTAATTAAAATTTATTAATGGAACAATAAATTATATTTATTATGACAGCGTATTATATTACGAAAGTAATTACTTTTTAATTTATTTTAATAATTATATTACCCTTAATAATTGCTGCTTCACAAAATTGTACTGGCATACTTATTTATTTATGTTTATGTATACATATATATTTTATATAGTATTATTAATTAAAGAAAAATATTTGATTTTTTTCTACTTTTTAATTAGATACATTTTTGAGATAGAGAATTTATAAAATAAAATTCATTTTGAAATTTTATTAACCGTTCCACACAAATGATTAAAACAAATCAATTGAATTTTTTTATAATTATTATTACATACTTCTTAATTAACAATGTCAGAAAACATGTACAAGATAATCTTATACTCGTAAACTAGTTATTATGTAGTTAGATACTTTGTTTAAAACTTTATGGACCAAGTGAGCAATTATAAAAAATTAATTTCATATTAAAAGTACTCATTTTTACTTTTTATTACAAATTAGTAATGATAGTTAAGTTGTAATAAAATAGTTAATAGCACTAGCATTAGTAAAGGTGATCAAGAACCGCTTCCAGTTAGTTTTTAATTCTTAACAAAACGAATTGAAAAGGCATAAAATTCTAAACATATGTTTAAATATACAAACCTGATTGGGATTATCCAACTTAAATCAAAACTAACCTCAAGCTAATTTAATTTCAAATAATTCACAGTCGTAATTTATGTCTTCATATTGAATTAGTCATGTTTAAGCATTCCATTTTTTTTTTTTTGACTCAATTCATACTTAAGTTAGTATTGAAAAATTAATTTGTGGCTATAAATCAGCCCTTAGTCTTTCCAATTCTGTAATCTTTGCTTTTTTCACATTGAAAATGTTGGATAAAAGTTTTCTAAAGCAAACATTTCTTTTATCAGTACTAAAATCGGTTTCGATTTGATAAAACAATCAACCACAATTTAACCACTTCTTTTAAACGAAACAGTAGCAGCAGAAGAAAATATTTTATGTGCGTCCATACACACATATTAAATATTATTATGATATACCAATGAAGCGGGCCCGTACCACTCTGTATCATTTGTGTAAGATCACCGGCTTTTAACTATGATCACTTGGGGTGAATATTATCGTATTTAATACATTTTTAATCATCCGTTATGCTTCACTTAAAAAATAGTTGGACTTCGTTGCGTTTTAGAAGTGTTAGGTTAGGTTAGGTTATACCGGTGATCCCTAGTGGATCCACTTAGGCCTTTTGGCCCATTGTGATGCCGTATATAAATACTAAAAATCTCAGGGTTTAAAACCACCTAGAACCTTTTGCGAAGCATAAAATGCTATTTAAAGCCCGATCCTGTTAGAAGTGTTATACTTATGAAAATTCTCCACCAGTTGCAAAATATCATCGAATTTTTCGATGACAAAAAACAACTTGAAAGGTTTATTTGCAGTTCGAGATAATATTAACTCCATATTACCTACAGTAAATTAAAAACATATATGAAATATATATAAGAAGAGTGGGCTTAAATCTCTTTAGGTTGGCGTAATATTTTTGTTTCCACTAGAACGTTGCTATTAATGCATGAGAGAATTATATCTTAAATATATCATATCGATCTCTCTCTATCTCTATTTCAATCTTCATCTCTATTTCTGTCTGTACTATCTCTATTTCTATCTATATTTATTTCTATCTCTGTAAGCTCAATTTTTCTCTACAATTGATTTCAGTGTCTTATTCTAATTGGCATAGATCAAATTAATGTTTTTTCAAATTCTTCGTTTTGTATCTTACGTTAGCTTTCTAAGTGAACGACTCGAGGTAGAAGAATATTTGTGCGCACACCTTATTTTGCAGCTTTGCTGTTTTCTCAAATATTACTATGCCCTGTAATGTCACCATGCCCTGTAATGTAGTGTGTTGTTGTGCTATCCCGGCAAAAGATTGGTGGAAGCTGAACACATATATCAATTCATCTTTTTTTTTTATTTAATGGACTGACTATATATGAATATATCAACGTTCTATTTTTATACTGAGGGTCTACTTTATCCAATTCAATACTATATTTACTCTCATAGCTTGGGAGTTAACCGCCTTTTATTAGTTTATGAAGTCTATTCGCTATTATATAAAAATTATTATTTAAAGAATGGTTTTTAAATATGTTATATTATTTTAAGATATGAATCTATCTGTCAGTTTTTTAACTACAAAAATTCTTTGAACTGCTGAAAGTTTAAATGATCAATATGCTCATTTAATAGGTGACTTGACGATGATTACATATGGAAATGTTTGAATTATAAATAACACCTACAGTGTTAATAGATTACTGATCTTTACCGCTAGCAATCAATAGCAGTTATACACTATGTATAGATGTATGGATTGTATCTAAATAACATCTGTTACGTATACAAATTGCAGTTTTTACTTCATTCATTTCGTAGAAACGGCAGTACAATTTTATAAATGCTAATTGCTTTTAATTGTGGAAAATCTAGAGGAGTAGCGCGCTTGTAATCAAAATGATACGCCCAAAATCGATTGAGATCAAAAGTTGATATATAAATTGAAATGAAAAAATTTCCATTAATTTTGAAGCATTTGAATTTTTCATTTATTTTTAATTAATTGTTTAGGCCACACAAGCCAAACTTTCAACTGTAGTTAATTTCTCATATTTGTTATTTTTAATTGTTAGATAAATAGATGTAATTAAATATTTGTAGTTAAAAATTTGCATTAATGAACAATTAATTAAAATTCACACATTGGTTCTATTTGTTAGCACTAAAGACAATTCGCACTCATTTGAAGTTCGAAAAGTAAATAAACTGAAGTTTCAAACACGGAAATTGACTTAAATTGTATAAAATTTGTCAATAAACGTTTAAAATATAAATATTAAAAATTAAAAAAAATATTATTAAATAACGTTAAATAAATTAACGAATCGAACGTCTTAGTAAGTTGAATAACTTTTCACTTAAGAGGCTTCAGAATTGGCAATAAAAGTGTTGAGTAATAAAAAGTGGGAAGGTCAAGAGCAAACTAATTTTAACGAAATAAATGAAAACATAAGATAAACAATAAAGAAAAAAAAAGTTATAGAAAAAATAAGTTACATAAATAAATTATCACATAAACCTTATTTCAAATAAATAACCTTACTTGGTTGTATCTTTTTAACAATGAATTGGACAAAAACGGAAAAAATGTATATGTAATTAATTTGTCTGGAAGCCCAGATGACTTACATCTAACATAAAAAATTATAGATTGAAATATATTAAAAAATATTCTTCTATATCTACATCTACATCATCTGTCTTCATCTATATCTTAAATACAAAATAGGAATTTCTGTTAAGACATCTTGTTCGCAGAAAGTTGGAATTATTGCTTCTATTGAATATCATCGCCGTTATGCTTCCATATGTCCATGTGTAGTCTTGATAGAGAAAATACTGTTGTTGTTTTGGGTACATTTCTGTCAGTATAGGCCAGCAACTTGCTGTTTTTTGCCATACTTGCGATTTACCGAAAACGCTTAATATACTTCTGTATCTACAACAACATCATCTATCTACATCTATATCTTCTATAGAAATTAAAAGATTCTGTTGAGACTTCTTGTTTCCACATGTCCATGTGTCACCTAATAACAGACATATGTATGTGTTATTAATTATTTGCATTGATGCAAATATATTTGCATTCGAGTAAAATCTTTATGGATTCAAAGGTAATCGTATTATAACTCTGTAATTAAGCGGAAAATCGTAAATAGCTGTTGTTTGAGCTTTCGAACACCACAATGAGAATAATTCCATTTTATCTAGATCCATATCACATTATACCAAAACTGAAAGTTTATGAAAGTTTTGACATCGCAGCACCAACTTAGTTTCAAAACATCCTATAGATGGGCAAGCGATATATTTTCGAGATCTCGCTACAGCAACCACATTAACGACTTCTTCAACTTGTTTAAGACTTTAATTCCGTAAATAAAATATGGAGAAAGTGAACATTAAAATGTTGTTTGTTTAATTTATGCTAATGCTATACTTTAGCAAAATTTCCTTTAAACAATTTCTTTTGAATTTCGATAATCTACAATATATGTTCTCCTTTGCAAGCAGGACATGTTTTTCTATGTTCTATGTTTAATATAATGAAATCTTTCTGTCAACAAAATAAGCGACAAATTTTAACGAATTTTTGCAAAAGTCTGCTAGAGCTTTAAACTCTTTTGAGCTGTTAGTAAAAAGCCTTAAGAATTTAATGTTCTTCCGACTATGAATTTAGGCTATAGTTTCCTGTGGGAACCAGTGACAAAAATGTGACACTTCTCTTAAACTTAAGAAAGTATACCTCCATCAATCATTAAATTTTATTATTATCGAAAGTGTTAGAGACAAAAATAGTTACATTTAATGACTGATATAAGTAATACTTTACTTAGGTTACAAAAACTGTGACTGTTCTACCGATTGTATTGCTTGTAAGCAATGATTGTTTTGTGTCTGAAGAATTAAGTAATAAAATTCTAACATATCTAAATGGCTGTCGAATACAAATATTCTAAACTTTTCAAAATCAGTGTATAAATGATGAGATGACTTGCAAAATTAATATTTTAGTTAATAAGCTTAAAATAAGCATATATTTTGAAAATATAAGATAGAAATAAAATTTTTATGAAAATAAATAAATTTTCAACCTAATAAAACAGTAATGGTTCGAACAGTAATGAAGCAACAACAACAAAAATTTTAATTAACGCTGTTTCGAGTATTTAATTAGCTTATAGTCTGTACATAATTTGTTGAACTGTAGGTGTCAGGTTTATTAAAATTCTAATTATTATTAAAGTACAGTATACTCATAACTGTCAAAGGATTTCTTTTCTATATAAAAAAAAAATTATTTTCCATTGGCAACTCTGCTAGTGCCAATAATGATATTGCTATATCATTATGAATAAACTGGCTTAATTCAATTAAGTTTCATTAAAAGTATTTCAAAGTAATTTGACAAAATTATGTCAAAGTAATGAGATTCGGTTTTCGTGCATTTCATTTAAATTTGAATAAAGCGATTTGAAACATATAATAAAAATATATAAAATATATTAAAAAAATGTATTGACGTTTGACTGCATTGAAAATTTCAAGTTGAAGGTCGTGTGATGTTACCTCAAACTTCGATCAAACAGTTTTCAAACAGTTTCGAATGACGAGATTTCATATGTATCTAGTTTAATATTTACATTTTTGAGTTGCGGAAGTTGATGCATTTCAGTATCTTTTTTGTCTTTTGTTTTGATTTGCTTATTTTAACGAAAACTTTTGTTTTTTTATTGTATTAAATACAGCATCAATTACTTTAGTTGAGCTTTGCTTCAAAAAAAAGTATCTGTGTTAGCTGCTATCCGTACATGAAACTGACAAAGCATCTCTAATGAGTTCATTAACATAAAAATTCAGTAAACATTTTTTCGTATTTATTTGCATTTATCTAAATGATAAATTAAGCAAATACGAAGCCGAGATTTATTTTCTGCTTGTTGTGTAAGATGCTTTGCAGTTTATTCGAATCTTTTTTACAATGATCTTTATAGTCATTGTTCACTACAATTGTGAGTACATCGAACCCTGTCTATGCATAGCAGATAAATTTTAAGGCACACTTTTTTGACTGTGAACCAACCGCTGGGGTATATACTTTTACTTTCAATTTAAAAAAAATCAACGAAAATTATTGCGAATTCGTAGACAACTTGACTTTTAATATAATATAATATTATGCTTTTCTTTTTTAATCAACTATTCGCTTTCTGTTAAATATCAATTTTCTGCTCTCTTTACAGCTGAATACATCAAACAATGTCGAAGAAATGATCCACAGCTAATCGATTGCTTTAAAAACTCCTTGGAGCATCTTAAACCATATTTGGCACGCGGTATACCAGAAATTGAGGTAAGCAATTGCATCACTTTTCATTGCGATTTAATCCACGATGGAGCGCAGATTGCGATAAAATAGGCACTTCTACTTGAGCTTAACGAAAGCGTTCAAATATTGATAGCTTTGGCAATTTTTAGCGGAAGAGTTTTTACAAAAAATATTTTCCTCTTCGTGAATGATTCAAAGAAGATTAGGTTAAGTTAATTAAATCAAACGAAACATAAACTAGAATTGTAGTTAAATCTAAAATTTTATTTACATAAAAAAATATTGGTAATGTGATCTATCTTAATTAATACAAGAATTTGAAGTGATCAGTTACATTTCGATTCAATTATAATTTTAATGAAACATTCATTTCCTTCCCTTTTGGGTTCAGTGCAGGGTTTAAGTCTCCCTAACATCCTCTCACTGAACTGTTTGCTACTTAACAGAAAACAGTGATCTCTAAGCTTAGGTTAAGTTAGGTTATAGCGGCGATCGAAAGGAATCTATTTAGGCCTTTAATTTTTTGACTTAAACTTTGAAGTTTAGGAAAATAATTATCAGAGAAAATAATAACACCCTAATTTTGTTTACAAATAAAAGCAAATGTTATAAAATATTGCAACTAATAATTCATGGTTAAGAACAACTTACAGTTCATAAAAAAATAGGCTTGCAATTTTCCACACCATCCTTTAAAAGTTTCATATTCATAAGTTTCATAAAACTTAAAATTATACAGCACTTTGTCTTTGTGAATATAGATCATGTTAATATACCACAGAAATCATAAGTGAGACTAGATCCAGTAAAATCAAGCTGATAGGTTTTTCCAGACAAAAGCTTTATTTTAATATCACAAAGTTTTCTTCAGTGATGTTAAAAATATAAACAAAAATATGAAGCATTGGTTAATACTAAATGGATGAGTGCGAAATGTAGTTAATACCTCTATCTCTTTAGTTACAACTCCGATTACTAATGATCATGAATATATATATGATTATCATGAACCATTTGAAGTTCGTTGATGAACTTCTACAAATATCCGGGGGTTTATGTAAAACTGAAAATTATATATAAACAGAGTTATGAATACGAATTAATAAAAACCTATTAATGATTAAAAGTGGTTAGGTACCAACAAAGCAGATTTTTGAAAGAAAGATAGTTCGCTAAGTAAATGGCCCCATTCGAATGAACGAGAAAACATTCAGAACACGAACAAACAACGAATTTGATAACCTGCTGAAAAATGAAAATATAGTAAGATTTGTCAAAGCACAAATACTACAATGGGCAGCTTACGTTGTAAGAATGAGACCTGAAAGAAATCCAGCCAATATACTTAAAACTAACCCGATGACAACAAAGCATAGAGGCAGACCGAAGCTGAGATGGAAGGAAAACGTGTACGAGGATGCCAGAAATCTCGGAATTATGAATACAAAACAATTGCATAAGATCGAAGCAGATAGAGGCAGGTTGTGAAGAAGGCCAAGGTTTACAGTGGACTGTAGTGTCAAACAAGAAAAAGGTGCAACAAAGCAATGTTATTGCGGTCACAACTGGTACCCAACGCAGCTTCTTGGAGGCTCCAAAAAATACATATATGAACATAACATACAAAACATAGTCATTAAGAGACCATTTGGCACACTATTTTGAGAGTATCTCTGAAATAGTGCATCACCTTTTTTCCGACTTCTTGTTACACCACTACAACATGCAAACAAGTATTCAAATTTTCAGTATTATCTGCCCACATAATGAATTAACACTTTTCAACCTGTTTTTTATTTTACCTGAAAGCAATTTACAGAAGAGCTAGACTGAAGAAATCCGTATCCCAAAAAAAGAAAAAAACAGTCGGAGAAAAGAAGTTGTTTAATATGATAAAATGTTAACATTGGAATTCTTAATTGAGTTTTACTAAAAATTTTAAACCTGTTATTGTATTGACGTATACGTCTAGTCTGTATATACGTATACGTTTAAGTCTGAATAAGAATTTGTGATTGTTTTAAACTTGGATTATTGTTAAGTTAGGTTAGGTTTTTTTTTAACAAGATGTAAAGCAATCGTAAACCCAGTTAGTGGGAGACTTCAACCCACTAAAATTTCGTCGATATCATCAAGAAGCCATCGAGAGCACGAAGCACAAAAGTCTATTTTTGTCGACATTTCGTTAATTGGCCAAATTTTTCAGCCTGTATGTTCATTTGTTATTGTATCTTGTATCACTTCAGTGTGTTCTTTTTAGGAACGCCCTCACCATTTATGTTAGCTGTGAAAGAGCTTTCCGCATCTCTTCGTAACTTCTCAGGATCCGCATAATTTGAGTTGCGCACGTTTTAACTACATTCCATTTAAAGCTGCTTAAACACATTTCATATGCAATGCTGCGAGGAGATAGTAGATGTCACATAACCTCCACGAGTAATTCTCGTTCTGTTTTACAGCGGTCGCAACGAAAGGCTTCATGTTCTGCGGTTGCTACGACGTTGCGGCAGTTTTGGCAGTATGGACTTTCTACTAGCTGCAATGGGTAATGATATCCTATAAAGTCTCCGTAGTCGCTCAATATTGGAGTCAGATTGTCCACTTCACTATGTTTTTTTGTCATCTATTCGTTAATGTTGGGAGTGGGTGCATAGGTCCAGTGTCCTTTAGAGAACTGTTCCCATTTCTACTTCCATACTATAAATGAGTATGAGCGGTTGGTAGTTTTTTGATCTGCCTTCACAATCCTTGCAATTGGTTACAAGCGTCCTTGTAAACCACAACCCGCTAGGACATAACAAAATGTAATATCACAAATAAATATATACAATACTAAGGAACACTAAAGAAGGTGTAACAACCCGAGTAGTCGGCGCAAAGATAACGTTGAAGAGAAGATGCACGACTCCCCTTTTTAATTTAATTTATAGTATTTAATTTTACGCTTCCGGTTTTTAATAAATTTTCTATGATTAATTTAATAATAGTTATTCTCGTTCCCAAACGATTTATTAAATTTCTGAAGAATTAATACAATTGTTAATTTATACAATTCAATTAAAATGCTAATTTAATACAATTTAATTACTTTTTTGATTTGATGTGCTGGTTTAGTGATTATTCTATTAATTTAACTAACTACTTATGACAACTCAGTACTAGTTACATTAATTTTATCAAATAAATATTTATAAAAAATATACATTATATAAAAGGAATGACAAGTTTTGCGCTTAAAATTTTGAGAAAAATGTATAAATTTTTTATATTTTATTTTTTAAAAGATATTTTAAAATATTTTATATTTTTGTTATAATATTCTCTTAACTGAACAGACTTTGCTTAATAATGTTTTAACTTTTTCAACTACTCTAAGTAATATATTGCGTTAAGGTATTCATAATATTCATTTACTTCGAATGTGATATCTTCACTCAACAAGATCTTTTTCCTTTATCATAAAGCGTGTGGCCATTACATTTATTATCATTAAAGAATTAATATTCCGCACTGTCTGACTAATATATGCCACACAGAACTCTCGTTTAACAACCGCTGAACATAGTAAAACTGAAAAAACTTACTACAAAATTGATGACAATTTTTTGGATGGTATTTTTTTATTCTCATTTTTCTCTTAGTAGATAAATTAACAAACGAAATTTATGAAAGTCGAAAAATATTTACATTCACAAAAAATGGTCACACTTGCACTGGACGTGTGATAGATCTATACTTTTTAAAATATCACGAAGTTATGACATACCTTTAGTTCTGATCGTTATAGCCATAACATATGTCATATGATGAAATTGATGATATTGGTTTCACTTCTCAAGAAATTTTCCAGAAATGTAATTTTGTGTTTTGGTGATATGAATTTACCATCAATATCATCCCAATTGTCACTAATGGACTTTTTTGTGAAGTTATGAGATTGACCGTATATATACAGCTACTCTTCAAAAGCTTTAAAAATCAGTATTATTGAAATTGGAGCCAAACTATCGCTACTTATTTATCAATAAGTAATCGAAAATTATCTTAAAAAGACATAGCATTGTGAGATGCCCCGTGAATAACAGCTGAACTTATATTTCAAACCTAATGACAACGTATAAGCAATATATTGTAATAATAATTTGATAGAAATCTCAAACATAAGCATTTAAGTCATATATAATTTTCTATATTTCCTTTCGGAACCACAAAATGGATAGCCATACATAAAACTGTGATGGGTTTCTATTTTAATATTATTGACGTATTCTTAGGGATCTTAAGAGGTCAATTTTGTTTGAATCCTAAAGTAGTAATTAATATAAAATATTCACAGATCTAGAGCAAAAAAGAATGGTTTAAAGAACGAATTGTTCTTTTTTGTTAGATAAACTCATACGTAATTCAATATTAAATAACAATGAAACCTAAGCACTCAAACGGAAGCATACTTTACAATGAAATAGGAGGTTAAAAATTGTTTTAACAAAAACTTGCCGGTTAGGAAATTACGTAAATGGACCGCAAATAAAACCAAAAAGTAAAATAAAAAATTGGCAATATAACAAAAAAATCTTTTTTGCATCAAAATCTGCGCTTCGATTTACACATTGACGGATGTTGCAAGCCTCCAATGCACTTTTCATGCAACTTTGCGAATTTGAGATTTTTTATTTGTTTGATCGTTGCACATTGACTGACTGCAAAGTTTTCCTAACGAGTTTTTCAAGTTTTCACAATAAACATTTTTTTCCTTCTTTTAATTAATATATTGCAAATTGTTTATTTTCAATTTTAAATTTTTATATTTTTTATTTTTTATTTTTTTTCTTGACTCTATTACTTACTGCTTTTGTAATCTTAGTCAATGGCCGTAACAAATAAATTTTTTTTGATGTTTTACTAATTTTTTCGATAATGAAAATGCTAATAAAGTTTATTCGATTTATTTTTCATTATAATATATAATTTAAATATTAAATGTTGCAGTTTATTTTTAATATCTATTGAAGAATTTATAAAGGCTTTAATTGATTTTAAGGAAGTGAGAAAAACTATTTAGCGATACTTGGTTGGTGGTTTCAGACTAATACTCGTATGATGGTTTCCCAGGAAGTAAGGTTCGAAAATGTTTAGCAGAGATCCTTTAAATCTGATAGCCTTATAATATTTTCACTTTTTCTGTGCTTTTAGAGATTGAAATCTTTTTGGATGCATAGTTAAACTTAACTACTTTATCTAACAAAATGATGTTGAAGTTTATAAACGTTAAAGTTCAAAACGTGTTCACACAAATGTGAAACCTTGTTAAAAATTGCATGTAATTTTCTAGCCACTTCAACTAACGTCCATATTAAAAAGTATAGTTGCAATACAATACTAGCACTTGTACCAATACACCAATGTTGGTGTATTACAAGAAGAGGACTGTACAGAAGTTGTATTAAGGAAGAAAATTTGGAATTTTACTATCGTTGTCAACGTTTCTTTTCAGATCAATCACTAAACAAAGCTTTAGATTAAAGTTTCGAAGTTAAACATGGTTTCAAAGTGTTGTTAAGCATTGTTTGAAATTAATCTTTATTTAAAGATAGATGTATAGTATTTCTTTCTCTCATAAGAAAGATTTATTATTATTCTAGATAGAACAATTCTTCTCTAATACATCTAATACATTATATTTTGTGATGTGATTTTTATTTTCTTTTTATTTATTTTATTTTTATTTATTTTATTTTATTTTTATTTATTTTATTTTATTTTTATTTATTTTATTTTATTTTTATTTATTTTATTCTATTTTTATTTATTCTATTTTCGTTTATTTTATTTTTATTTATTTTATTTTATTTAAATTTTTCAATTTAGATAAAACGTTAACGTGAAATGACGTGTATTGTTTTTTTTGTAAATGTAATCAGTGCTAATAATCTTAAACTTCAATTATCTCAAGAGGTATACTATATCTGCAGATAGCGTGACTTTTGCTTTAAATAGCTAACTTTATAAAAATTTTATATACAATTCTGTTATATATACAATTCTGTTTATACAATTCTAAAATCATCTGTTTTTACTTTTTTGTCTACTGCTACGCCTGCGGTCATGCTATCAATGCAATAAGTGTAGTAAACAAGATACTTTGATATCTCGGGAAGCTGTAGGACAGATGACGTAGACATGCATTACTCTTTCTCATAACACACTATTCGCAAAGATTAGAACCCCCGTAACTTTTTTTAAAAAGTGTTTCAAAAACGTACCATATAGGGTCACAACTATAATTAAAAATGTATCATAAAATAACTAAAATTCTCTTAAGTCTAGCAATGATTAGTGTTAATCTCCTAACGTCAATTTGGATTGGATTTTTATTATTATTAGGAGGGGTTATGGCAGTGCGATCATTTGGTCTATTATGACCGCTTTTGGGCCTAGAGTTAGTCTCTAAACCCTATGCGTCAATAAAAAATGGTATAGAACCTACTTTACAAAGATTTTTGCCCCTTCCGTAAGGATATACACTTCCAGGAGATTATTCCGTATGTGCATTAGCGCTGGACATTCCAACAACACATGTGTGGCTGACTCTTCATTTTCTTCTCAAAATCTACAGCTTGCATCTATATATATGCCCAATCTTGTAAGGTAGTATTTTAGTTTACACTGTCCTGTTAAGATTGCTGTGATGATTCTAAGTCCCTACAACTCTGGTATCTCTTGTTGTCTTAGGATTGGATACCACTTGTAAAACCTGTAAATATATAGCTATAAAATAAAATAAATATATATATAAATCCCTATTTATTGAAAAATGCTGTAATCTTTTGGAGTATCTTAATGGTAATGAGGTCTTTTATATCATTATTCTTTACATCACTGAATACACATTCGCTTATTTTCTTATTTCCTTGTTTTCATAAATGTATTATAATAAAAAAAAAAACATTAACATAGTTAAAGTTATCGACGCAGTTCAATGCACTTTTGTGTAGATAAATTCCATTTTTTTTTTAATAAAATCGTCTTATAGACTTAAATTGGCTTTAGCCGTTTTTGAAAATGTCATTAACAAAATAATAAACACAAAAATGAATTGCAGCTGCAAATAGCGATGTTTGCGAAACTAGTAGCGCAAATAATTTGTTATCTAGTTTCAAGAACCTTGATTTACTTTTGTATTAAGACATTGCATAATATAGCAAAATGTTGAAAAACGATTTTATTAAAATTGATCACAATAATTCACAAATTCAATATTTTTAATTTGCTTGCAGCTGCCTTCAGTGGAACCGTTCAAAATGGATACATTGTCACTACAGTTAACCGATGGTCCACAAGGCTATAAGATTACCTTGAAGAATATGGAGGTATTCGGTGCTAGCAACTTTCAAGTTAAGTCACTGAAACTGAGTGAAAATGGAGAACCGTTCACAGCACGTATATTTATACCAAAATTGAAGATTGAAGCCAAATATACCAGCTCCGGTGTATTATTGATCATACCCGCCTCAGGTGGTGGCGATTTCCATGCTATGTTTGGTAAGTAACACATGAATATACTCAATTAAACAGATTTAAATCTTATTCTTAAAACTTATAGAGGGCGCTGTTGCTGATCTAACTGGCAAGGTTTCAGCACAAGAGAAATCAGACGGTACTTATATGCATGTAGACTCTCTCAGTCTGGTACTTGATGTTAAGAAGGTCGATATGAGCATTTCTCGAGCTTTTAACAACAATAGAATCTTACGTAAGTATTTATATCTGAAGTAAATTATTAAAAAGAAGTAATTAATCATTTCATTTTTAAAGTTGAAGCTACAAATCTATTTTTGCGTGAAAATGGTATGATTGTCTTGGAAGCTATGCAGTCACAATTACAAAAGAAGTTGGCACTTGAATTCGGAAAATTGGCCAATCAATTACTTAAAAATGTTCCTAGAGAAAAGTTCTATGTAGATTAAATGTGAAAATTAATTATATTTGTATACGATTTTATGCTACTTTTAGTAAATTTAAGTATTCTGTAAATATTTTTAATGTTAAGTTTAAATTATTTTTCCATTCTATGTGGTAAATTTGAAATTCTCATAACATAAAATGAAAATAAAATTTATTAAAAAATTTAAAATTGATAATGATTTTTTTTGTTGTGTTAAACACATAATTTGTAATAAATTTCACATACAGAGGACGCTTATAACTGTATCAATATTTAGCTAGCAGTCAATAGATGGCGCCACAATGATTTTTATGCTATGTTAAATACATCGTCTTAAGAATTTATGTTGTAATTGAAATTAAATAAATCAATTAAATAATTGATTGAAATTATGTTTTATTTAAATAATGTTTAAACAAAAATTTTTCACATTCGGTTAAGGTAAATATTAAGTTTGGTTATTACCGTGGTGTCTCGCGATACATAAAAAATTTTTTTGACTGCAATTGTATATTTTTTTAGATGTATCTTTTTATTTTTTCAAACGACTGACTACATTTTTATGTATATTTTTAGCAGAACGTCTAAAAATAAAACGTTTTCACTTAACCCAAAAACACTTATCTATCAGATTACGATAGTAACTTTTAAACATAAGAAGATAGATCACTTCGTTTGACAGTAAGCCTTGACGGCTTAAGACCACGGTGCTCTACAAATACATGTATCAAGATAATGCGCCTATAATCGTCCTATTGGAAATTTCAAGGAATTGCCGCCAGTATTAAGGAAGTTATGTGTTCAGGACATAAACTCCACCTCGGTATGATATGAGGCCTACCAAAGGCTCCGCTGATCTTTGGGTCTCAGCACATGATGATGAATACGGACTCCACACCGAGCGAATAATAAACAAATACCAATTATTCTACTCGCGTAAGTTTGGGTATTAGCCACAGCCACTAAAAGTCCAACATCAACTGATCAGCACAACTACCATGTACACTTCTGAACATTGTCAACATAACGCCGGGATTTCAGTCGCCTCTTACGACAGGCATACCTACCTCGACGATATTCTAACACTTTACCTTATTTCGTTTGACAATATTCAAAATGTAATACACTGCAGAAAAACTGTCCAACTTTGTATTATCTAGCAAATATTACACCCCCCATTGGCGCAATTCTAACCACTGACCCAGGTCCCAGGTACCTACGATGTTTGATTTGAAAGTTGATAAGTCTTGATAATTTTTTATAGTTTGTTTGTGAGAAGAACCTTTCTTACATTGGCATTTTAAGTGTAGTTCTTTGTCTGGGGAGCAAAAACAGTTAAAAGTTTTTGTATTCTATATTTTAGATGCTCACCTCTAAAAATATGAAGCTCTTCAAGCTCTTCAAGCACCTATTACTTAGTACATAAAAGTAAACCGGTAGTATCAAAGAAAACCGTAACGGAACACTGGATTATAAGGCAGCATTTAACCAAGCTGAGCCTGCCTTGTGGCACTCATCTATCATCACTCGAACTGAACACAACGGAACACCGGTTATGTCTACATCCAAGCTTAAGTTTTTTCAGGCTTAAGACTTACAAGTACAAATAAGTCTCACCGATGCTAATTAATATACCATCTGCTTCGCCAGCTCCAACTTTGTAGTCTATCAAAGTTGGCTTATGTGTGTTTACTCCTTGATGCGATTTGGACTAAATCATCGGTCTTATCGTGGTATTCAAGATATCCGCTTTATATATTTATAAACTAAAATGTGTTTATATTTTAAAAATTAATGGGAATAAATTAACACCACCTTTTTTTTCTAATAATGCCTTTATTATTTTATAATATTATTTATGAAATATTGAAATACTTATACAAGTTTTAGTTGCACTTTTTAGATGTTATTTTACTGGGTTTAGTATTATATCTATATATATGTAATATATATATATATATATGTATATATTATATTTGCAAAATTTATTCATTATTTTTATGTATGATTTCAAAAAGTAACTATGCGTAATTATTTTTATCTTTTATGTTAAATGTTTGTAGTCTAAATGGTTTTTACTGTAAATGAAACAATTACAATCTTATATGATAATGTTGATCTTTATATAATATATATATGTACGTATGTATAGCAATATTTATAATTTTATTTTCCTAGTATTAATCATTTTTTACATAATTTCATTTTTTACTTTTAAATTATATAAATGTTTTCTTTTTTTATAATACAAAAAGGAACTAGAAAAGCATGTAAGCTAATAATGGATATAAATTAAAAATAATTAACATATTGACTTAAACGGAATTCATTAAATAAAATCAAATGTGAAATGATATAAAAGAAATGGTTAGATACATAAAATGATACTTTATACAATATAACATACATAAAAAAGATCAATATCAATCTCTCTGAAAATATCAATATTAACAGTACTAGTTCAAAAATATAAGTAAATCTAATATCCTATTCTGACATTAAACATGAATTGATTAAAATAAATAATAAAATTTCTATAAATTTATTTTTATTTTTTTTAATCCAGATAACTTATATTCATTAAAAATATGAATATAATAATACGATGAATAACCAATTTTTGTGTAAGTTTTTTTATAAATAATTTTTAATTATAATTAGTTTGTTAATTTTGATTTTATTTTAATTAATATTTTAATTTTATTAATGTTATGTTTATATTTTTTTAGAATATTGTATTTTTTTATTTTGTATTTAATTTATTGTTTGAAATGTTAAATTTTGTTTATAATTTATATTTTTCAAATTTAGTTTATTGAATTCTAATATATGTTTAATTGTTATGTCTACAATTGCTTTCAGTATAAATTTTAAGTGTATGTATATATTATTTATTAGAAATTATTTTATATATTTACTAAACCTTTTAGTTTTTTTCTTATATGCCTAAAATTTAAATTTTCAAAATAATTAAAAGTTTTTGTTTTTAGAATCGCTTTTACAATTTTTTAAGTAAAATTTTAAAATTTTTAATATATTGGAATTAATTATTTATAAATTTTATTTTAATTTTCATAAGTTTTTCCTAAAACCATTTTATATTTATTGTTAATATATTCAATTGTTAAAATAATTTCTTACTTTTAATTTTCTTATAAAAAATAATTTATTTTCAATATTTTCTATATTCTAATCCTGTGCTAAATTTTAATTTATAGAATTTTTTTACATTAAAAAATGTCTTACATTTATTTTCATTATAGAAAATTACACAATCTGATAAAAAAATATTAAAGAGTTTCAATGTTTTTTTAAAATCAATTAACTATTAATCTAGTAAAATCTAACTAAGGTAACTTCAAGAATTATAAATATTTACTATTATATCTTCTTAGACAGATAAAACAGAAATTTAGAGGAGACCAATAATACTCGACTGGGTTTTACACTATTTTTGGTTAAATTAATAACTACTTAAGCAGTAATAAAATGATGGATGGGCACGAATTCTTAAACTGATAGTTCGAATAGTACTTTTATTATTGGTCTTAAAGACTATTCACATACGGAGAGACAACAAGATAATGACGAAAATATAAATGTGAAAAATATATTTGTTTTTGTTGTAGTTAAAAATTAATAATAATTATAGTTATTTATAGATATTGTTATAAGTATGATACTTATATTTACATAATAATAATCACTTTTACGAAAGCACTTAAAATATCGAAATGAACTTTTTCCGTTTCATATCATTTGCACACATTATCTTATCTTCATGAACTGGATGTTCCAATCAATTCTAGGTAAGAAAATAAAAAGTGGCACTGTTGTTTAAATTGCACCTAATTACCTTTTATACCATTACTCTAGTCTATTAGAATGAAATTAAATATTTTGGCATCGGAATATATAAAGACTCTTTTAAGGGCGGTTTTGTAAAAACTAATTTGAAGTGCATATGTCCATGTAATGTCTAGTGTAAGTTGGTGCGACATATTTCAGGAAGGTTTGAAGCCGGACAACACCCCCAACATCAACAACATCATGCCTATGATACTGCAGCTTTTCCTCCATCTTCCAACTAACTACACATCATTTGAAATTCAGTAAATAACAACTCTCGCTTTGATATGTATCACTCTGGTTATAAGATATCTTATTTTATAATTCAATTTTACAGCGAAATACAAAACCTTTAATATTAATTTAATGTTCTGTTAAATAGAAGTGAAACATAAAAGAGTAATCTTGCAATGCAATACAAAACCTAACTCTTTATAAACTTATGTTTACAAATAATAATGCGCAGCAAATATCCAGAGAATGTCCAATAACGATCAGCCGACTCGCACAAGTTAAACTACAACAAGAAATTAAATTCAAAATCCTAAATGAGGCTGAATATGGCACACTCTAAAACGATCAAAAAGCAATATAACTCGACATGCAGAATTGTGGAGTCCACACTGTTCTAGGCAACCCGGTACGCTGGCTATGACTTGGAAAAGAACAATAGAACGCGAATTGAATGAAATTATTCATGGAATTAAATTGTGCCCATTATTATAATAAAATTAAATTTAATTTGTTATTAGAGGCTCTATGTTTCACATAAGCGGAAGGAATTATATACATTAATATATATAATGCATAAGTGCGTCTAATATACAAATATAAGAGCAATAGGTTGTGTCATACCGTCTATTATCATTACAAATGTATTGCAATTTCGAAGCCGTGTTATATTAAATAAAGAATATAATTCCAGTACCTTATGCTCTGCTACTATAAATAGTCGACCCATAATACCATAAGATTAAGCTAAAGTAGAGATTAAAGAAAATCTAACAAACTCTTTGCCTTCTATAATTCAATTGATAGTTATTTACCCTCAGCGAGTTTTCTCTTAAAGAATTCAAATATTAGCATTAAAAGTATATAATTATAAATATATAAATCGAAGCATATATAATAACACAAGCATGCAAAATATTGGTATTTAGCATTATTGAGTTATCTAATCTAATGTTGGATAGAATTTAATTTGATCTAGGCAAAGGGGTTTTGTTGCCCAAAGCACACTAAAAGTAACGCATAACACATTTATTTAGGGGTATACATTGAAGCCTGTAGATTTCTAGTTTCTTTCACTTGAGTGAAAGAATTCCAAACTAATTT